GTCACAGCCCCTCGTTTGTTGTCCTCTTCTCCCTCTCTGCCTACGGTTTACCGGGCAGTTCTATTTGACGATACATATATATATATATATATATATATATATATATATATATCGTCACATATATATATCGTCACAAATATATATATATATATATATATAGTCACAAATATGTACATATATATATATATATATATATTGAAAATTTTCAGAAAACAATGCTGGGAGTCGGCCAGCAATGGTACTACAGGACAGTGCCGCTGGAGCACTACAACACCCCTCGAATCCTGGACATCACCACGTTCGCCCAAGCTACCTCTGTGGGGAGACTTCACACGTTCACTCGCGCTTCATGCACTCTGTCAGCGCTTCGCGCAGGGCCATCGCACAGGGACGATTTAAGTTCTCTGCAATGGGGTGGGGTGGGTGATCCAAGCCGAAATCCATTCGCCGGCGCATGCCATTCGCGTCCACATCCCACAGCAAGTTTTCATCGAAGTCTATGCCAGCATCGAGGAGGATGTTGTGTAGAATGCACACTGATTGAAACTGTTGCGGGAGAGTGTCCACATTCGTTTTGTGTGTGCGGAGGAAAAGCCTCCACATCCCCTTCAGTCTTTTGAAAGCTCTCTCCACTACTCCTCCGGCGACCTTATACTTGTTGTGGAAGCTCTCCTCGTCGGCGCATTGATCGGTCCCTCCGTAACGCACGACGACCCACTCCATAGGAGGATAGTCGTTATCCCCGAGGATGTACTTATGTGTCTTCACCCGAAATGGCAGCACCACGACAGGTCCATGGAAAAGATCCCCCTCCTCCGCACGCGCCCACAAACTGGAAAGTTGAAGCACCTGAATGTCATGGCAGCTCCAGGGATAACCGGCGAAAATGTCTGTCACACGCAAGTCCAAGTCCACCACCACCTGTGCAACAACCGAAAAACAACGCTTCCAATCAAAGTAGTTCTCGGATGGTGCGTTCACCGGCTTAACAACATATATTTGCGTGCAGTCTATGTAGCCATAGCAGTTGGGGAAACCCTTGGCCTCGAAGGCGCACAAAATGACCACCCGCCACAACCCGAAATGCCAAACGATGTTCCCCTGGTACACCCTCAGAAGCGTCAGAGTCATGTCCTCCACCTCAATCAAGCCTGATGCGCGTCCTATGCTGAATGACGATGTGCTGCTCTGGTACATCTTCCCGCTCGCCAAATGATAAAGCTTGTACGCGATGATGTGATCCGGCATCAAAGGCACCCTGTAGAATGTCACCCTCCGCTGCAGATGAGGGGACAACGCCGACACCCTAGGGGACATCCTCAACTTCTCCTTATAGTACCCGTCCACCGGGTCGTCCATCTTCCGGAGATCCTCCCATGTCCCTCCCATCCTTCTCCTCATCCACCACCTTGAAGTCGCCCGCAGGATCACACCGGAGGCCACAACGCAGCAAATTTGCACTATGGATTCTGATAAGGACACACAGTCGAGCGCCTCCATCACTTGTTGCATTAGCTGATGCTGCCTGCGAATGGACAGCCTCATCTTCAGGCAAGCTGTCGTTCTCTGTATGCACTATCGTATGGTGACTTCCGACACAGCTGCAACCACCACATTTCTCTCCAAAGCCGTCAACAATTTGCACCGCCCCGCAGCTCTCCCTCCATCTTCACAACGCGCAATGCGGAACTGCCCATCACTGTTTCGGTCGCCGGCACCCTCGCTCCGATGTCTCCACGTGGACGGGAACGGCAGCAGCACTACCCACGTCTCACAGAGGCCTGACGCGTGCGCTCAGCTATGACTGCCCGCACAATTGTCGCAGACGGCCCGAATAGGAATGTGTAACTCCTGACCGTTGTCGCACTCCGAGACCGTCACCGTCCACGCTGAGTCGGCCCGCGTTCCAATGCCGACGTATTAAGCGATGGCCGCCAGCACTCCTCCGCAGATGTTTCGCTCCGGTGTGCGCTGCACCCAACTCAACAACCCAGGCGTGTATGCGTTTCAGCGAAGGGTTCAAAATTAGAAATTCGAACAGGGATGTTCGCGCCTTTTTTTTTCCCCAGCCCGGAAGGCCTCCCTGACGCCTCTACCAGACCACGCCTGACGACGCACAGACATCCCACCGCGACAACGTACATCCAGCCCCGTGGCGGTGTATATGCGTATGAAATTGGCCGCGGGAGACCTCCAAGGGTTTTCCTTGGGACCCATTGAATTAGGACGCGGTGTAACGACAGCGCCGAAAACTGGAAAATTTTCCAAGGACCTCATCCTAATTCCTGAGGATTTTCAAAGGAGGGTCTCACGAGGCCCCATCTCTGGAAAGTGTTCTTTTCCTTCCGGGTAGTTTGTTGAGGTTTTCCCAGCCTCTCTTTTGGTGTGTGTAATCAAATGAGCCGAGTTTTCTTGTTAAAATATATATATATATATATATATACTAATTTTTATTTTTATTTTATTTTTTTAATTGGTGGAACACTTTGCTTTGTTTTTTTTTTTTTTGAATCGGTGGAACGCTTTGTGCAAGGAAAATGAACAACAGCGAGATGACAGAACCCAGATTGCACAATCACATTCGAAGCTAGAAAGTCCCACAGTATCCAGAAAGTAGCATTGCACCAATAATACACAAACGGAGAATCGTAACACTGAAAACCGAGTGTCAATGCGAGCTTACACTCGTGATCACCAACATAAGAGTTCAGGCCTTCCCCCTACTTGGCGCTCGGCGCCCAGACTACTCCCCACACAGCAACTATCTGCCTACTGATTGACAATGCAACTGTTGACGTCAGCAGCCACCAAAGTACATGAAGATGTCGCCCGATGCAGACCATCGCCAATACCAGGTATGAGCCCTCACATCATCATCCTCATCTCTCTCTCTCTCTCTCTCTCTCTCTCTCTCTCTCTCTCTCTCTCTCTCTCACTCACTCTCTCTCTCTCTCTCTCTCTCTCTCTCTCTCTCTCTCTCTCTCTCTCTCTCCACCTTGTCTTCCCTTTGTACACCCGAAGACCACCCCTGCGCCTTGCTGTACTCCAAGCCCAGCCAGCTATGGACGCCGGGCTATGGCGCTGCCCTCAGCAGTGCCCTTCTTCCCACACGACCGCACGTGCTCAGCACCTTGTCCCTAGAGCTAGCAGCAGCACGCGAGAATCCGTTCCACCAACGCTCCGCAAACTGGCAAGTGCCTGAATGAGCCTCCAGGCAGCGAGCTCTTTCCTATATGGAAAGAGTCTGCCTGTCCTTCGACCTAGCTGGGCTGGGCCTGTGCCCAGAAGCTTCCGGTAGGCTCCAGGTTGCTGGGCCTCTGCCGATGCTGCTGGGCCTCGTTCAGTTCCTCCTCCCAACTGTATGTGTATACCGCTGCGAATGTGGCCCAGGGCCTGTACTTCAGAAAAGGCCTACAAAGCCGTGGAAAAACTTTGCTGCAACCACCTGACACGACACAACTGCCTGAAACCCCAAATACGAAATTGACAGCATTGGGCCTCTCGTGTTTTGTTAGGCCGGCCTTCACTTAGGGCGGGCACGCTTGCATCCTGGGCCCCCTTAGGCCTTCGAAGGAGCCTTATCCTCCCATTTGCATCATCCATTATAAAAATATGTGTGGTGAGAGAGAAATATATGGCTGTCCCCCGACGAGGAGAAGGCAGCTTTTCCAAAAAAAAAAAAAAAAGGGGGCTGATGCCATTTTAGGCGCTGATTCGTGGGGTTGCCGTTTTAGGCGCCGATTTGCCGAGGGAGTTGGAGGAGCATGAAGAGGATTGCGCTAGCGAAGTTCTGTTGGAGGTCTTCTGGTTGGAGATGTTTTCGCCTAAAGTTGAAGATCGAAGATCCTCTCGAGTCTCGAGAGGAACGAAGTGTGTTTGGTACGCATCGTTTGAGGGCTAAGTGGAGTTTTAGGGATATCTCTGTAATTGCCTGTAACAGTTCCCCGACTAGTTTTAGGGATATCTCCGAAATTGCCTGTTTCATCGACTTAGTGTTTTCTTTCCGAGTTGGAGTGCTTTGATTTCTCCTGTGTTTCGATTACTCCCTATCTTAGGTTATGTGTTTTGCAGGATTTGGTCTAGTAGATGTTTTGTAGGATTTTCTTATTTTAGCCTATGTGTTTTGTATGATTTTCTTTTACGTGTTTTGGCCTATGTGTTTTGAAGGATTTCCCTTCCCTTTTTGCTATTCCCTGTTAAACTTTTAGCTTATGTACTTGGTACGATTCCCCTTTCCGGATTTGCTAGGATTACCCTTTCCGTATTTTAGTCTATGTGTGTAGGATGTCCCTTTTCCATGTGTGTCGCTGTGGGTCCTTTCCATGGCTCCTGGGTATTTGGGGCATTGACATGCGTGTTCCTGGGTCGATGTTGACGTTTGGTTACATATACCTTGCTCGAACAAAATGGCCTTTGATTTCCTACGTGGGCAACCCTATTTCACTCTGTTGCTGCTGCTTAGTTCGATGCTTGGTGGGAGATGGGGTGTGTGGGTGGTATTTTCTACGCTGCCAGACTTGAACTACGAACGCATTGGAATTAAGATAGGTGGGCGACCCTAGCTTGCTCTGTTGCCGGCGTTTGGTTCGCAGGGGGGTAATGATGTGGAAATACTTGGATACCCGTGACAGCCTTGTGTTGGGAGTTGGGGGGGGGAGTCTTCTATTCTTTGGACAGGTTGTGTTTTCCTGTCATCTGGAATTGGTAGTTTTTACTTCGTGTGTGTAGGCCCTGTAGGGTGTTGTACGTGGGTTGGTTGTTGGTGGGAATAGAGATTGTTTTCGTGGTACGGCTGGTGCCATGTTAGGGTAAGGAGTATGGAGACTGGGAATTCCAGTCATCTGGAGTCTGTGGTTTTTACTTCGTGTGTGTTGGGTGTTGTACATGGGTTGGCTGTTGGTTGGAAAAGAGATTGCACGTGGGTTGGCTGTAGCCTGTAGGTGGGAATAGAGACTGCTTTCGTAGCAGGGCTGGTGCCGCGTTAGGGTAAAGAGTGCAGAGACTGTGTATGCAGGGATGGGGCTCCGGGCTCCTGGTGGGGCAGGACAACCTGTCGTGCCTGTTTTTGACTATCTTCATTATGTAATTGCCATGGGCATTGGGCCCTGTTAATAAAAGTGCAATTTCGTGAAAAAAAAAAAGAAAAAAAAAAAAGAGAGAAGAAGCAAAAGAACGCTTTGCATCATCCATAGGCTGCAGGTTGGGAGTGCCTCGCCCAGCTCCACGAGACCGTGGCAAATATGTAATGGACGCAAGATCCATTCATCGACTATCAAAAGAATGGTCAGTTTTGTTATTAAAAAGAAAAGAGAGACAGATGAGAGAAATATACATATATACAGGGTCACCAGCCCGTATGTACGGAGGTCACTGGGCCAACCTCCGTACGTACGGGCGTTCGGGGCCCCGTTTGGGGTCCGAACCCGAAGGCATTCGGCCCCCGCCAAAAATTATTTCGGGCCGAAAAAATACGTTTTTTTGTCTGATTTTTTTTTGGTGAGTTCTCTATGATGTGAGGTACATGCCTATAAATGTTGGAGTCATTCTGCTAAGCCAAACAGAAATTAAAAATTGCCAAAGATGGCGGTGGATTCTGTTATTTCGCTAAAATTCTCAGAGCAGCCGCGGACCACAGGAGAGCTTTGCGGAGTGGCTTAGCCCGATGCTGCTTGGGTGAGGCAAGGTGGCGACGTTGCGGGCTGGGTCCGGCGGTGGGCGCCGCCACGGTTGTGTCACCATGCTCAACTGGTCTCATCCGGCCCTGCCGCTCCGGGCTGTGGGTTAGGCGTGGTTATGCTGGCGTGCTGAGTTGAGAGTGCATTGGTGTGCGGGTGTGGCGTGTCTGCAGGAGTATGCTCTTAAACCCGGTACGAAGCTTGACCAGCGTGCTGGAGCACGTTTGATCTTAGGTATGAAGACTTTGATTGTGAAGATGTTGAAGATGCCGTTTTAGGCGCGGTCTCGTGAGGATGTCGTTTTAGGCGTTGATATGTCGTGGGAGTTGGAGGAGCATGAAGAGGATTGCGCTAGTGAATTTCTGTTGAAGATCTTCTGGTTGGACATGTTTTCGTCTGGAAATGAAGATCGAAGATCCTCTTGAGAGGAATACAGTGTGTTTGGCATGCATCATTTGAAGACTTGGTGTGGTTTTATTGTTTGTTTAACCACCAGTACTTGGCCCAGCTATTGGCCGCGCCGCTTTCCGTTAATGCGCCGCGCCTTTAGGACTTCGGGGTACCGGACCTCAATGGCTGGAAGCGCCAGCCAAAACAATTTCGAAACGGTACCCCAGCGCTTCGGCGAAAATCAGCTCGCATGGGCATTCCAGGCTCGGCATCGATAGCTGGGCCAAGTACTGGTGGTTTAATCATGTCCTCTATTCATCCAAAGTTACTACCAACCCTTGCCAATCCATTCTGCCACCGGCGCGGCAGGGGTCTGTGCCCATAGGCCCCAAACTGCTGACAGAGACCCCGCAATACCCACCCACCTCCTCGCGAGTCAAAGCGGATAGCACCTTCCCACACTCTTCATACGAAAACAACAACTCCCACCGCGATGCTGTTTTCACAAACCAGGGAATCACCCCCCCTCCCGTGCGGCAGGGGCCAAAAAGCCCCGCAAAACCCTCCCACCTCCTCGCGAGTTAGGGTAAGTCCCTCCCTCAATTCTGCATGCACCCACTACGGATGCTTCCCCGCCCTCCATGACGAAGCCCCAGTGGAGAAATGCTCACCATTCTACCTCGAGAATTAAGATGACGGCAGGACACCGGCCTATAAGGATGAAATGAATACCTGGCCTAAATTCAACATCTCAGTCGTAATACCCTACCTCCCGCACGGCAGGGGTCGAAGACCCTGCGAACCCACCCACCTCGCGATTTATAGAAAACCACTCCACTAGTCTGCACCTTCTCACAAGGAAGGAAACCCCACCACCCAACCATTAGGCGTTTCTACAGAGCGGCACTCTCTCTTTCATTTCATCGCATGCAAAAGCGCTATACTAAAATCGCAACAAAGTACACAAGTCTAACCAAACGACGAACAAGAAAAACACCAAAAAACACACAAATTACATCAACCCTAGTTTAACACTAAAACTAAACTACAGCTGAAGGCCCAACACTCTCATATGCCGTTCTCTCTCTCTCTCTCTCTCTCTCTCTCTCTCTCTCTCTCTCTCTCTCTTTATTGCGGGACCTAAACAATTTTATTAGAGTTTGATTTTTTTTAGTGAGTTCTGTACTGCGTGAAGTACACACCTGTAAATTTTCAAGATACAAAGAAAAATCGTCAAAGATGGTTGTTAGTGAAAACAGAATCGTGGTGGGAGTTGGTGTTTTTGTAAAGAGGAGTGTGGGGAAGTGCTATCCGCTTTAAATCGCAAGGTGGGTGGGTTTGCGGGGTCTCTGTCAGCAGTTTGGGGCCTGTGGGCACAGACCCCTGCCCTACAGGTGGTACGGCGGATTGGCAGGGGTTGAGAATAACTCGGGATGAATGGTGGACATGTCACGCAGTGCTGACTGCTTGTTTCCTTTGTGGTTTTGGATTGAATTTCGTTTTTCTTTGGTATTTCCTTTTTCACATGATTTCTTAATGGTTGGTGGAATTTAGGTCACTAAATTAGGGTTCACATGAGTATTGTGAACCTGTATAGCTATGCCAACGACTTCCTGATTGGAGTCATCGGACCTAGAGCATTAGCCGATAGAATATGAAGTCTAGTGGCACTATTTCTCTATGTAAGGCTTAGCCTTCCGCCCCTCTTTTCAAAGACGCTCATAACTCAACGAACTGAAGGCTCCCACGGGCCGGCTTTTCTCGGGTTTCTTATCAGCTCCTACAGGCTCTCCCACTTTGTGGCCTTTGAATATCGACGAACATACAATGGGATATATATTTATACATATATGTATTTTTTAACTGTGACAGACCTTTCTTTGTTTCGTGGATGATTTGCTGGCTTGTGATGGGGTGTGAACCGACAGTCTGTAGAGTTTTCCATCTGGTGTGGGTGAGTGGTAATAGGAATATCTGAAAAAACTCTCACCCATATTTTACCATTTCTCCGAAATTTCCTGGTGATGGCACGACGCGCCGCTTCAATTCCTTGATATGATATGCGACCTGCTTCA